TATCAGACAGGATATCACCATAGCATTTGCAGGTTCTTGCAAAATAATAATAATAATAATAATAATAATAATAATAATAATAATATTAAATTGGTTCAAGTGAAACTCTTTAAAAATATAAGTATTTTCTGTTCACTCTTCCTGGAATATGCAATGATAAATTTAAAACAGTTAATGAGGAATAAAATAATTCAAATGGTGCAAGCAGTCAGGTCAATTGTTTCCCCCAGAAACAACATTCTTTTTTCCTTGTAAAGCATTCCATTAGGATGTAAAATTCCATTTGGTCTATTCGCTTTGGGACTTTTCCATGAAAACATATCTCTCAGCTAGGGGCCAAATAAAAATGTTAAGCCTTCATAAACTGGATTTAGTAGTAGTGAAAGAGAAAATGGAAATAATGTTATGACAACATGAACTGTGGCACTGATGGAAATGGTGTTTTGTTCATGCCTAACCAAACAGCAGAAACCGTTTTAAGCATTTCCACTAACACACAATTAATTTGATGCAAAGAACTGATTATCCAAAAGATGAAAGAGCTAAAGTAAGAGTGAGGAAAACTGGAAATTAATCTTGCCAGGAAGCCATTAGCTCCTCCAGAGTGGAAGGGCAAAGACAGGAAGGTCTGAATCACAAGATGGAAGCTGGGACTAGAGTGTCCTGTCCACCAGAGCTTCATGCTGAAAAGCTGCCCCAGGCAGTTAGGTAGGCGATAGCAAAGGGTCAGGGTAAATGACTGACAGGACTGGTCCTTGCCTCCCTTCTTGTCATGGTCTGGATGCAAAATGTCTTTTACAATGTCATAAGCTTGAATCCATGGTATTCAACTGCAGGCACATTTTTGGGAGGTTGTAGAACTCCCAGAAAGTAGTGCTTAGCTGGAGAAAGTAGGAAGAGTGGGAGTGAGGCTTGAAGCCTACATCTGCTTTGATTTCAGCTCCTGGTCTCTCTGCTTTCTGTTTGTATCAGGTAACCAGTCCCAGCTAAGTAATCCCATCACTGTAAACTCTGCAATGCATGATCCACCATGATGCACAGTACCTCCCATCCTTTATTTTATTAGTGGCTTCTGTGAGACATTTGGTTATAGAGAGCAGTACTAATACATTTCTCTACCTGTGATCTCTGCTGGTGGTTGGTGGTTGTCCAGTCTCTGCCATGGCTACTAGCTGCTAAGAATACCTACGAAATAGCTCTGCTTAGGGCCAGCCCTATGATGGTGCAGAGTAGGAGAGGAGACAGGGCAAGGATCTGTGGGAAGAGTGGCTCAGACACAGCCAGCACACAGCATATTCTGTGGCTTGCCTTAAGTGCTTTTGAAAAGAGTTAACTGTGTGGATTTGGTAGACTTATCATAGAAACTGATGTAGTTTTACAAGGCATTGCAGGGTGAGCTGTGATGAAACCCAAGACTCTTCTATGCCTGCATATGAATGTCCACATTATTTTGAAAGTTTTTTTTAAATCTTAATTATGTTAAGTGTAGTAAAAGCACCTCCTATTGTGTAACTTCTCCCAGTGCTGGGCATCAAAGTGACCACTTCTTCATCCCTGAATGATATTTAAATTAGAATTACAATCGAGAGCATCTCCAGAGTTTTCAACACAGGCTTGGGGGTGTTTCCCATTGGCAGAGCAGTTAGCTAGCATGCTAGAGGCCCTGTTTTCTATACCCAGCACAGGAAAAATAAAAATAAGGTTTTTGTCCAAAGTTATCTATGTAGTTGCTATGCCTTAGTTTGTCTCGCATTGCAACATATTCACAACCACTTTACCCTCTGGCTTATTCCCACATTTTGATCATAATAGAGTGACTTTCTGATGTTCTTGATTAGTTAAGGCAAGATCACCAAGAACCTTAGTCTAAATGTCCTTCTGTGAAAGTACCATAATCTATACAGCACAATTGTAGCAGCTAAGAAATCAGAGACCAAGTAAATAACATTGAGTGCTTCACTTGATGCTGATGTTTAGCTGTGTTCTCACCTGATTAGAAGAGGTAAAGCATTTCTCTAGGTCTTGGTTTACTTTTCATTTTTCAGTTTCTTTAAAAAGTGTGTCATACTAAAATGCTCAATCCTTATCCCGAAAGGCAAAGGGGATGGACATCAGAAGAAGAAGAAAACAGGAAACAACCTCGGAACCTGCCACAGAGGGCCTCTGAAAGGCTCTACCCTGCAGACTATCAAAGCAGACGCTGAGACTTATGACCAACTGTTGGGCAACCTGCAGGGAATCTTATGTAAGAAGTGGGAAACAGTAAGATCTGGAGAGAACAGGAACCCCACAAGGAGAGCAACAGAACCAGAAAATTTGAACATAGGGGTCTTCCCAGAGACTCATACTCCAACCAAGTACCAGGAATGGAGATAACCTAGAACCCCTGCACAGATATAGTCCATGGCAACTTAGCGTCCAAGTGGGTTACATAGTGATGGGAAGAGGGACTGCCTCTGACATAATCTGATTGGCCTGCTCTTTGATCACCTCCCCCTGAGGGGAGAGCAGTTTTATCAGGCCACAGAAGAGGACAATGCAGCCACTCCTGATGAGATCTGATAGACTAAGATCAGAAGGAAGGAGAGGAGGACCTCCCCTATCAGTGGACTTGGGGAGGGCCATGGGTGAAGATGGGGGAGGGAGGGTGGGACTGGGAGGGGAGGAGGGAGGGCATTATGGGGGGATACAAATAAATGAATAAACTGTAATTAATTAAAAAAGCGTGTCATAGACTTTTTTAAATCTATCAGTCTATCAATTTAATTGATTTATTTATGTGGGTCAGCATGAACACATGATGGTGTATGTATGGAAGTCAGATGACAAAGGAGTACATTCTCTCCTTCTACCGTATGGGTCCCAGGGAGCAAACTCAAGTCTTGCAAGCAAGCAACTTTACCTTCGGAACTACCTCACTGTCCCTAGGGCTGCTTTTATAAGAATATCACCCTTATCAGGAGATCTCTGCTTCATGCCTCAATCACCTTCTGAAGGCACCACCTCTCAGTACCACTATCCAGGGGTTTCAACATATGCATTTTAGTGGGGCACATTCCATCTCTTCATTTTCAGATTGCTTTCTCAATACCGATCACCTGGAGAGCCCCTGCCGGCATGTGTACAACATCTTGAATTTTTAAAGGGACTTTATTAAACATGTTCTTCTTCATTTGGACCATTACCTCTATTATAACTTTGCAGACACTCTCTCTACAGCCACCCCTAAGAGCTTGCTGCCTGCCTTATCTTTGCTGTTCAGTTTTAATCATGCCCATATTGCTGAAACTATGTCCAATTTGGGTTTAAGTCTAAAATATCTTAGAAATCATCATATTTCTTGTGGGGATTCAAAGGACATATACTCATATGAGCTCTGAGGGTCTGCTTTCCATATGCTTCACCTGTGGGAATGGCTTGCTAATATCTTTAGGATCATATGAACTAAAGGAAGCAGGAAGCTTAATTGATGGGTTTCTTATATATTACTTCCCTGCTCAGCAGATATGCAAGCATGCTTCCAGATTAGATAGTTGTCACCTCAAAGTATAGAGGTCACAATGTCATGCACATATTACTAAATATACACAAGTAAGATAGGAATCTGCAGAAAATTCTTTCCAACTTCCTCCCAGAATGCAGCTTTCCCAAGGCATGCGAATGTGTGAACTAAGACAGAACACGAGACTGCACCGAACGAGATGCTTGCTTACTAACTTTTTCCCTTGTTATTCCTTTTAAGTTGTAGGTTAAAGAACCTGAGAACTATAAGTCATTGCTCTCCAAAAGAGACTAGAACTATGTGCCCACACTAAACTCAAGAGTATTCTTACTATATTAAACAATAGCAAGACAAGACAACCTGAAACTGTGAGTGGGCTAAAAGAGAGACCGAGAGACAAACCTGTGTCTTTATCCTATTGGTTTCATTTCACAAAGATTTGAAAGAGTGTGAAGAATTTTCCCAAGGAAAAACAGAAGACAAGGGCATATTGAAGGGCTGTTTTTCAGCATTGGCCCCCAAGTCTTCAGTCCTACTACTGGGAACCCGTCACACACAGCATCCAAGATCAGACCTCCTAAGTGGAACATTTTTCCTGGGAGATTTTTCTTGTTGGGACTTTAATTAAGCTCCTGCCAGGCTTGCAAGCTTTTTAATTTTACCTTTCTTCTTTCTTTCTCTTTCCTCCTTATATCAGCCTGCTTGCCAGGAGACGTTTTCCAAGCTGTCACAATTATAGTAAATGTACCCTATGATATTAAATTCAGTAATTTGATATTAAATTCAAGTGTTTGCTTTCCCAAGATTCTACAGCTAAAGTGCTTACAGGAAAAGATTTTGTTTGTTCATTCGTTCATTCATTCATTTATGCATTCATACCATTTTACTTTAGACCGTCCCTTTTATAATACACCTGAAAAAGAAGTTTCATGGAGTAATCTAACTCATTCTTCTGAATGTACCCATTAAAAGAAAGTTGCTGTCATTTAACCTTGCACACTACTCAGAAGCCAACTGGAGATAGTCACTGCTGTTGGTGAGGGAACAAATGAGGGAGCCAAGAGAATATGGTATTTCAGCTGATGATTTAACACATATTTAATGAAACACAATATTTAATATATTTAGGTTTCATTGCAAGATCTCTTTGTCTGCAAACACTGCAATTCTGAAAATATAAAGGCAGGGGCTGGACGTACAAACGATGACCCTATAAAGCAGATTGCAGGAGAAGCTATTTTCATTTGAGAAAGCTTAAATTTGGTGGCCTTAAATAGCTCTCTATCTTTTTTTTTTTTTTTTTGGACTGAATAATTTTGGTTTTAAAGCTCAGATAATATTTCAGGGTGAGGAATAAAGCAAGCCACCCAAACGATAAAGCTAGGGCTACAGATACAAGCGTGGGACACATATTCTGTTCTCTGTAGTCATGATCAGCATTGATTTCATTATTGTTATTAATTTCACCACACCCGGCTCCTTTCTGGGGTATACTTACTGATCGCCTCCACAAACCGCTCAAAGAAACTGTAAGGGAAGAGCGGTTCAGGCAGCTCCCGGAAAAACATCTTCAGTGCTCCGGTGACGACGTGGATGTCCTCCCACTGGCTGTCATCCAAATTCAGCTCCTCTTCTGGGAAAACACGAGGAGAAATGGAACAACTGGTTTTAATGAAACAATTACAAGACACTAATTATTATGTTAATGTTTGCCTACTATCATCAGCAACCGTTAACAGCCTTCTGCACCTAGAGGTTTGGTGCTGCGCATGGATTTTTTTTTTCTTCCCGTTTTCTGTAGGAAGGGAACATTTTCAATGGAATACCATCTGTAGGAATGCAGCTAACAAAAAACAAGGGACACAAAGAGACAGTACCATTGACACAGTATGTCAGATACGGTTATTCCCATAATGCATCAGTATGAAAATTAGCATCACAGCTCAACATGATTCAAAGCTATTTGGTTTTGAGGCCGAGGGGCTAAGAGTTGCCAGCGATGGCTGGCTCAAGGGACCGGCCTGAAGGCCTTGCTGAGCCAACAGGAGACATATGCTAAACATGGCAATAGAAAACGAGTTATTGCCTTACATGTGTTAGCATTGCTATGTACAAGGAAATAATGGCTAGCACTTTTTTCTTTTTTCTTTCTTTCTTTCTTTTTTTCTGTCTGAATGTAAAGTCAGCAAGGACTAGAATACGGGAGGAGAAAGGATATTAATTCCTTCTTACTGCTTCAGAAATATTTTTCCCTTTTTCATCTCAGTGAGGAAAATGTACCCAGCAACAATATTAGACAGACCCCTGTTGGCCTATGCAGGCTATGCAAAGCTGCCAAAATGATAACACGCTGAAGACAAACCACAAATGCTGACCAACTCTTTGGAAATAACAAAAATATTTGCTTGGGAAGCCTGAGCGAAGAACTTAGAGGCCAAAGCGAGTGCTCTGTAGCAAGGGAGTAGGCTTGGTGATCAGCACTGTCCTTTGACTCTCAGCAGGAAAATCTGGGCTTGTTCTCAGACACGGAAAGAATGACTGTTGTGTAGAAGTGGCATCTTTACATAGAGTTAAGGGGAAACAGGGCGCTGATATTTCTGCTCATCTGTAGCTACATAGAAACAATTTTTGATTCAGGGCTTAAAGAAACACAAGCTTATCTTTAGCAATATGGAGTAAACTGAAAATACTATGAGAATCCTGGTAAGAACTTACAGGTATTGGTTAAGTGGAATTTCTCTCTCTCTCTCTCTATTTTGATGATGTCTGAGCTTACAGTCACATGCCCCCACAGTATGAGTTCTACGAATGCCAAGGAGCATTTTGCACCAAAAATAAAGTAAGAAAAGCTGAGAACTGCCACTGTGGGGATCCTCTGCGGGAGCTGTTTGGCTAATAGTGTTCACATCCTTTAAAAAATGTTAGCCCACGCCACGCTCAGATCTCTTTCTCTAATGGACTGTTATTTTCTGGGCTTGTAAGCGATGTCCCTGTTTGGTAGTCTGTCTGTGAAAAGGGGTTGAGGTGGACCTGTTAATGCCAGAGGGGCTCCTCTCCCTCTTCCTTTCAGTCATCAACCCAACCTCCATCGTAACACTCTAATATGACTCACAACAAAATCAGCGGAGGAGACCTTCTCCCTGCCCCGCAATCATTTTGATTGATTGTATTTCAACAATTAGTCTTTTATTTGGCTGCACACGATTGAAACAGGCCGACAGCATCTTAGCAGGCCAGCTTTAAACAGTCAACTGTTAACAATAGCTTCAAAAAGGGAGACCTGATGGGGTTTACTGTCACTTTAAAGAACGGGGTTTTCACATTGTTGAAATCTGTCAGATATTTTGAAATGTCCCTCTCACTATGGTGCCACACCCCCTGCGTGCCCTTATAATAAAATTGGTTTTACTCCTGATTAAATCATTTTCTCCCTACCCACTACCATACTTCTCATAATGGACCTGTGCGCTCTACAGCTGGTGTTCTTCCCATGGTACCAATTCTTACTTTATCTTTTAAGCACTTTGCTGCTAAGATCTCATGCAGAGTGCTTATGTTTTGTTAAGAGCTTCATTCTTAGAGAAATAGTTTAACACATGTTCTAAAAATGTTGTACAACTTATTGCTTAAAACACATTTAGAAAATGTTATCAGTACTGTAGCTTTAGCACGCACACACATGCGGGCGAACACAAGCACACAACTCCCAAACTTCACTAGAAGAAGTAAATGGCGTGATGCTAGAGGAAATGTTCAGAATCAAAAGGAACATTTTCCTATTGAGTAAAAAGCCAACAAGAATAACAAATAACTACTCAACTGGAGGAAAATGCCATTTATGTCAGTCACTTTCGTGTGTGTGTGTCTGTGTGTGTGTGTGTGTGTGTGTGTGTGTGTGTGCGCGTGCGCACATATATATGTAAAAAGGGAACATTTCACTATATGGAAAAGGAAGTATATGAGTCGATGAGTGTCACTTGGTTATGTCTTCTTAAAAGCCTTAAAATGCACTGCTATTAATTTCTGTCAATTTTAAAAAAGTTCCTAATACAGATATCAGTAGTACTCATCATTTAAAGAAAAATAATGATACTTGTGACCATCAACAAGTAGCTCAAATAAACAATATGGAAACAGTTGACAGTTGTCATCTGAAATATGCTTCCTAATTTTTATATACAACTTTTCATAATCAATAGAACCCTTATAATACAAAGGATGTCATGGTAGAGCTTTCAAGGCTATGGTGGTTTATTTAAACATATAACTATGCCCAAATAATATACTATCCATCAAAATCAGCCTGTTTTCAGGAAAAAAAAAAACTGATCATAACCCTACCTTTCCTTGGTGTTGATAGGCATCGTTCAAATAGATTTGCACTTTTTGTAGGAGTTTTCTAACTGACTTTTCCCTTTTCCAAGAATGTAAGGTTTCTCTAGAATGGCATGCCAGGCCATTTGAGAAAAGATAATCTTTCTTATGAGGACGTCCTTTATATTCTAGGATTCATAGATAATATTGTTGGAATTGATCCACTCAAGGCCCATTGAGTTTCTCAGGGGTTGACTATAGAAAATGTTTTCAAACATTTCCAAATATCTACTGGGGCTTCAAGCTCTTCCTGGTTGACAGGACTATAATGGAAGCTGGAGGCTTCAAGAGTTTATAGACTCATATGGACAAGGATTTGCAACTTATGTATGTATGTGTGTGTGTCTATGCATGGGGGTGTGTGTTATTTCAATATAAACTTAAGATTTACTACCTTGTTTTTTTATTAAAATTATTATTTATTATTATTATTAGTGTGTGTTTGTGTGTGTAGGTGAACAGATACTATGGCATGTGTTTGGAGGTCAGAAGACCACTTGTAGGAATTTGCTCTTGCCTTCTGCTGTAGATCCGGGCAATAAATCTCTGGTCATCAGGATTGTATGGCAAGCACCCACTGAACCGTCTTGTCAGCTTTGTAATTTTTAATTACTGACAAGATCAAAACCATTTATAGACCAAAATTTATATAACTGTATTCAAGGTATTTGCTACAAAAACAGTAACTGAAAATTATATAGCATTTAACTGTACAGGACACTATGTGACACATTTTGTAATTATCTCTAATTCAATTCTTCAGTAAGACAATGAAGTAGATGTTCTTGCTGGCGTGATATCCATTTTATGGAGAGGATAGAAGAAGTGGGAGTAGCTTAAGGAATTTTATTATGAGTGACAGGTAGTGAAACTGAGATAAGGAGCCAATATAATCCCACCATGTTTAAAATATATACTTGTGCATAATTTTGTCTGGCAGAAGAGAAATGACAAATAAATAGTCTGAAGTGCTAGTAGACTGACCTGATTTCAAGAATGGGGATTTCTACCTTTTATCCCAAGATGTTTTACTTAAGACCATGCATTTATCTATAAACTAACTCCAATATTTAGTAATTAGCCATTTATTGAGAGCTCATTCTGACATGAGCAGATATAAAACAAACTGGCCACAAAAAGAAAGCTGCATTGGGAAACAGGCAGAGATGGAATAGATTATTATGAAATGAGGTGTTGAGGAAATATGATAGAGTAGAAAGCAAATTATATGAAACATCTGTTTAAGGCCTAATTTACCACTGCTACATTTTTTATATATATTAATTTACTTGTGAAGTGAAGATGGTTAGAGGGAAAGATGCTGACATAAATGAGGAAAACGTATACATGTGGAGGTTATAAAGAAACAAGCATTCAAGGTACACTATGATGCAAAGGTAAACAAAGGCTCAAAAGACAAAATATATGAAGGATGAAGGCAACGGAAACACTGAGTGAGCACTGTGAACCATACACATTAGTACAAATTATTTCAGTGTGATAGGGCTTACCACATAGGTCAACAGCAACTTCATCCACTGGACTATAGGTCTGGGAAAAAGTCTGCTGAGTCAAGGTATCTCATAAACTTTATATTCAAAATCTCTCCTGGATTTTCTTAGCCCTCTAATTAGTCAATGGCTTCAAAATATACAAACGTAATGAAGGTAGATTAATTCAAGTACTGTAAGACTTTTATTATATATTTGTGTGTGTATACATATATTTATATATAATGGAAAAATAAGTTGGAAAGATAAAAACCAACTGTTATTTCTAGGACAATTAAGGACACTTTTTATTACAAAGGAAATTTAAAAGATGGATCTTTGATGGCCATAGAGGGGCAATGGTAGCTTCAAAGGAAGAAGGAATATTTAAAGACCAATCTCGGTTAAAATGTGGCCATGGATAACTAGCATAACCCCGAACAGAATACTGATGTAAGTATAAAGGGATGGATACCTTTTGGATATTTAAAAATCAAATGTTCTGTTTTTTTGTTTTTTTTTTCACTCTTTAATTTATAATGTTTTCCATAACATTTTCAAAAGCTCTTTCCAACTTTCACTTTACCATAACACTAGAAAAGGGGAAAGAGACAGCCCAGGTTATGGAAAGTATAGCTTTGGCTTCATTAGTGCAATGATAAGAATAGATTGTGTTGTGAACTTATCATCAGAGATGCAGCATCTGCTCCCCGTGCCAAGGACCACACAGCCCAGCCACATCCTTCTTGGAAAAGCCTGCGGAGTGCAT